ATCCCCTGCCAATGATCTTCAGCTCTGTAATTTGGTTATTTCAAGAATATTACATCAATGAACTCATAGAGTATGTAACCTTCTAAGATTGGCTTTTTCTACTCAGCGTGATTCCCTCAGCTCAACGTAAATTGCTGCATATATTGATCATTTGTTCCTTTTGATGGCTGCATGGTATTCCATGGTATGGATGTGCCAGAATTTAACCATTCCCCTATTGAAGGACACTCAGGTTGTTTCCAGTTTGGGGTTATTATCGATTCTTATGTATTTAAAATTAGTTAGAAAATGTCAGCCAGGGGCAGCTGTGTTCTGAGTTTGGACGCGGTACGATATTTTCTGTGGCCCCTCAGTCGTGGAATTTTGCAGAGACTTTTTCACTGGAACCCTGCAGAAGCCCTGGGAGGGAGGCAGGGCAGAGATTCAGTCAACACAATTTTCTTGAGCACTTACTATGTGCCATGCACTAGATACTGGAGTTACGGTAGTGAATGAAACCAGTTAAAACCCCTCTCCTCATTTATTATCCCCACTACACATGTGGGAAAACTGTGATTTGCTCATGGTCACACAGGTAAGAAGTGACAGAACTGGGACTTGAACCCAGGTCTTCTGACTTCCAGGCCAGTACTTTTCTGATGATATTTCTCTGTCTACCCTCAATGACAGCAATATCAGAGCACAAAGCACATGCTGGGGGTCCTGTGTGTGATGTTGTAAACAGAGGTTCTTAACTGGGGGTGATCTACTCCCAAGGATGTTTGACCATGTCTGGAGTCAGTTTTGGTTGTCACAACTTGAGAGGGGGTTGCTACTAGCATCTAGTAGATAGAGTCTCAGGGAAGCAGCTAAACATCCTACAAGGCCCAGGATAACCCCCACGGCAACGAACGATCCCACCCAAATGTCAACAGTGCTAAAGTTGCAAAACTCTGGTCTAAAGAGCCATGGGGGCTTCCCTGGTGGCTCAGGGAATCCACCTGACAATGCAGGGGACACAGGTTCGAGCTCTGGTCCGGGAAGTTCCCACGTGCCACGGAGCAACTAAGCCCGTGCGCCACAGCTACTGAGCCTGTGCTCTAGAACCCGCAAGCCACAACTACTGAGCCACCGTGCTGCAACTACTGACGCCCGTGCACGTAGAGCCCCTGCTCTGCAACAAGAGAAGCCACCGCAATGAGAAGCCCACGCACCGCAACGAAGAGGAGCCCCCGCTCGCCGCAACTAGAGAAAGCCCGTGCGCAGCAACGAAGACCCAACACAGCCAAAAATAAATAAAATAAAATAAATAGATCTATTTTTTTTTAAAAAAGTAGCCATAGGAGTCACGGACAAAGACAACAGCTACCCAGACAACATAGTGTCATGTTGAACTTCCACCCAAGCAGACACAATCATGTACTTGACAGGTATGGTTAGAGCAGGTACATTGTTGGTTGGGGGCTGATGGAGGGTCCTTATGAAATAAGTACAAAGAACCATCACCTCCTCTATATCGGTGCTGGGAGGATTTTCTGCAGGAGACGAGGGTGCAGGGACAGCAGAAATGGTCGAAGACAGAGACTGGTGATGCGGAAGGGGTAGGAGTCCTATTCCTCCGTTCCGTGCTCTGCCTCCTCTGCTTCTCCTGAAGAACCTTGTTAATCCCTCCTTCAGGTAGAAATGTACAAGAGGGCGGGGCTGAACGCGCACAGTCCTTTGAGGAGCAGCAGGGAAACATGGGACATTCAATCCACGCCATAAAGCGCACGAGAAACAGAACTTCAGTTTTCAAAACGAGACTTAATTTCTACTTCATTTCTGGGTGGAAGAAATGATAGTTAATCAGAGTCTCCCTACTTCCTATTCTGGATTGTGTCTATGTTTCTTATATGGGGAGAGGAGGTGCTCCCATAGGGCCAGACCTGGGCAGGGGGCAGGGGCGATCCGGTCTTTTCTGGCACCTGCTGTGGTGGCCTCGTTTCTGTCTTCCAGGAGGCAGGTGTGCCCCCCCAGGCTTCCTGGAATCCATCTCCAGGCCCAACTTCTCTCTCTTTCTTCTCTCAGCTTCTTCTGCCCTCTTGGGCACACGGGAGACGTTGGCAGGGCCTGGCAAAGCCCTGCAAGGCCGTCTCAGCCCCTCTGCCAATCACTCTATGTGACCATCCCTTCCCTTCCCGTGCCACGCTGGGCAAGGGGAGACATTCTCCGAGGCTTGTCCCCAATCCACACTCCCTCCCCCAGACAGCACAGGGCCGCTGCTTTGGTCACGCCTCATCTCTCTGGAGACCCACATCTTCATAACTCTGCCCTCTACCTGGCCCCCCCCCCCCTTTGACCTTAACTGGCTTGAGGGAAATGGCTCTTGGGTCTCAGTCTCCAAACATTTTGTTAATGACATAAACGTTATGCCCAGAGGCCTCCAGGCCTTCCTCTTTTGAAACTCAAAGGCCACGTTCTTGCAACTCAAAGTCCTTGTTCTTGAAATTCAAAAGGGTTATCTCTGCTTTCCTGATGAATCGAGTCTTCCTCCAAAGCAAGAAGCGCCAAGGTTTGGAAAAAAGCAAAAGGGAGAAAAACAACTTTCATCAATATCACCAACTATTAGCCCACTGTGGCAGCCTGGGTGGAAGGAATGGGCCACCAGGACCCTAGCAGGTGTGGAAGACATGGCCGTGCTCCTCTTGTTGGCCCCTCTCAGCCAGGGGAGCTGAATCTCTGTCCCCCTGTTCATCTTCCATCTTCTGAACCTGGATCAAGGTGTCCCTCAGGGTATCATAAACACCACTTACATGAGAACCAGGGTAGAAAAGTAGGTGGGAGCACAGGGTCCAGGCACATTAGGGTCATAGGCAGACCCCCCCCCACACTTACCAGCTGAGTGACCTTGATTAGGTCACTTAACCTCTCTGTGTCTCAGTTTCCTCATCTGTAAAATGGGGGAACTCTAGTACCTTCCTCATGTGGTTATGAGGATGATTAAATGAGACAGGAATTGTAAGGTGGGTAGAACACTGCCTGGCACACCGTCAGCGCTGTATGAATGGTGGCTGCTACTGCTATTTACTTATCCTAGAGGTGGATGTCTTTCCTTGAAATCCAAGTCCCACAGGGCCCTTGTGTTTGCTGCTGGTGGTTTCAATGCAGTTAGTTAACTGGGAGAGGATCAGGGCACCTGTGCTTGGTCTCTGGCCCTGCTTCCAGGCTGCTTGCAAAAGCTTCCAAGGGATTCTCTTAAGGTCCTTTTGTTGCAAGCAATGGAAACTCATCAGACTAGTTTAAGCAAAAAGGAAACTCGGCAGAACAGGAATACTGCTCAGCCTGAAGAACTGGAAGGCCGGCAGGAATCCCGGAAGCATCTCTCTCCCACTCTCTCTGCAGAGGGCTTTGCTGCTTTGGCGTGTGCCAGCCCAACATGGAGGCCCTCCTATACTGATGGTGCCTGCTATAGGTGTCTGCCGGGGGCTACCAACAGTCATTGGCTTCTTCATTCTGTTGGCAAATCCTCCATTTGTCTCAGGTGTCTGCACCAACCCCAAGTGACTCCAGGTGAATCCCAAGAGTCTACCCCAATCTGGAGGGTCCTCGCTGCGATGGGGTTAGGAGTAGTCATGTGAGCCAGCTCCGGCAAGGGAGCGATCAAGGAACTTTCCTAGGAGCTTCTGGGAAAGGTTTCATCATTGATGGAAAAGGGACCCACAGGAAGAGAGAGCGACAGAGGAGGGAGCCTGAGGGAGCGTGAGTAAGGAGACTGAGCACATCAGAAGGGCCACCTGATTATGAAGTCCCCGTGTGTCCTTGTCAAGGAGTCTGGACTGGATGCCGAGGGCAGTGGGGAACCGTTGCTCACATCTGTGTTTCACACCGCTGACCATTCAACGGGGAGAATGGATTCAAGGGCGAGAGCTTGGGAGCAGGACCCCAGTTAGGAAGTAGCTGGATGAACTGACTGATGATTATGAGATCTAGAGGAAGGTTCTACAGGGTGGGGCACAGAGGAATATGGGGTGATAAGGAGGAAGGATTGCAGGTTCTCTGTGCTCAGGTGTCCCAAAAACCTGTACCCCAAAGCCATGATGTCCTCACCAGCTCCATTCTGGGCCATCGGATCCATCTACACAGGCCCCATTAAGCTGGTAACTCAGGAAGAGATGTATTTCTTGAACAAAAAAATTTCAGGCAACGGGATGAAGTTGTTTTATTTAAACAAATTGTCCAATTATCCAATTTCACTTTGCACTACATGAGCACAATTTCTCACCGTGCAGACCTGATTAAACCTTCAGAGAGGTTGGGCCAGTATGTCATGGGTAATGCCTGCAAGCCAGACACATCCTTTCCGGGTAGGTGACTAACGTGAACCACTCCAGGTGAAGGTCAGGTTACAAGTATGGTACGTGTTTTACTGCTGACTTTGGCAAGAGTCACAAGGTAGAGACATCATTCAGATCCTCAGAGTTTAGAAATGAGTAAAGGTGGGAAGAGGGGGTCATCTGCTCAGAACTGAGCAAAGGAAGAGTGGCAGATGGGGAAATATCACAGCAAGAAAGGGAAGACACAGGGGCAGACAAAGGAGGGTGTGCTCTTGGTGGACCATACAGGTGGTTCCTGGCCCCCCTATTTTTTCTAAGTTTTATTATAAATTTAATACATTCTTTTTGAAAAAAATAATAATTACCTCCTCCATCTCTCCCTCCCTCCCTCCCCCTCTCTCTCTCTCTCTCTCTCACACACACACACACACACACACACACCTCTTCTCAATTTCTAAAGGTAACTACGGTTTGGTTTGGTCTGGTCCCTCCTGAACACTTTCTATGCGTAGTCAAATACATGTGTCTCCATCTGTTTTAAAAACCATTTGTAGGCTTCCCTGGTGGCGCAGTGGTTGAGAGTCCGCCTGCCGATGCAGGGGACACGGGTTCGTGCCCCAGTCCGGGAAGATTCCACATGCCACAGAGCGGCTGGGCCTGTGAGCCATGGCCGCTGAGCCTGCACGTCCGGAGCCTATGCTCCGCAACGGGAGAGGCCACAGCAGTGAGAGGCCCTCATACCGCAAAAAACAAACAAACAAACAAACAAAAACACCATTTGTGTGGCATCAAAATTCTTGGTCTCTTGCTTTTCTCAGTTAATGGTCCATCTTGGATATTCATCCCTGTGAGATGGTGCCTTCTCTCTTCATGACTGCATAGTATTCCAGTATGAGCCTGCACCATAATTAATTTAGCATATCTCTTTTTGGTGGCATTTAGCTTATCTCTTTTTGGTGGCATTTAGCTTGACAATGATTTTTCACCATTATAAATAATCAGCAATGGAAATCCTTGAACACATCTTCTTGAGCACACATGTGAGTTCTTCTGCAAGATGATCTCTTCCTCTAAGTGAATTTTTCAGCCTTACTTTATGACAGATTGTGGTCAGTCACTGACCAGAGACAGTCGAATATTTTAAATTAGTTACTTGCTCACTCAGGCAGAGCAAGTCAAAATGTACGCCAGGAAATGCTCGGAACAGCATCCAGTCCTCCTCAAATCCAGACTTTCAGAGCTGGACAAGTTAATGCCCCAAACGACTCATGTTCAGATGTCACTGGACCATTTATAAGGCACTTTTTCACATTCTGGTTCACCTAATCCTCATATTGGTCCTGAAAAATAGGTATTATTGGCATCACTCTTTTTACAGATGAAGAAACTGAGGCTCAGAGAGGATGAGACATTTGCCCAAGGTCACACAGCTCATAAGTGGCAGAGGATTCAGAAACCAAAGAGAGATCTGATGAAATCCTGCCTTCTTTCTAAATCTATGATACAGGTTGTATCATGGTGCCTCACATGAGAAGAGCTTTACAGTGAATAGTTAGCTGAAAAGGTGGGTGAAATAAACATCTGCCCACGAGGCTGAGTTTGCAGGATGTATTAGTTTCCTATTGCTACTGTAACAAATTACCACAAACTCTATGGCTATGAGCAACACAAATTTATTATCTGACAGTTCTGGAGGTCAGAAGTCCAAAATCGGTCTCGCTAGGCTAAAATTTAGGTTGTCAGCAGAGCTGTGCTTCTGCTGGAAGGTCTAGGGGAGAATCCATTCCTGACTTTTTCCAGCTTCTAGAGGCTGCCCACATTCCTTGGTTCATGGCCCCCTCCAGCAACTGCATTACTCTGACCTCTGCTTTCAGTGTCGCATCTCTGACTCCCACCCTCTTGCCTCCCTTATGAGAACCCTTGTGATCACATCAGGTCCACCAGGATAATTCAGGATAATCTCCCCATCTCAAGATCCTTAACTCAATCACATATGCAAGGTCTCTCTTGCCATGTAAGTTAACATATTCACAAGTTCTGGAGATCAGGATGTGAATATCTTTGGGTGGCCACCATTCTGCCTACCACACGGGGTTCCTAGCATAGTTGTTACGAGCAAGTATATACCTTGGTTCAATTCTTGGCTCTACCACCTGCTAATGGATCCAGGTACGTAACTCCTCTGAGTCTTAGCCTCACCTGAAAAACAGGAATAATAGAATTTTCCTTTTAAGGCTGTTGTGATGATTGAATAACACAATGTTTGTGGAGCACTTGAAACATAGGGCTCGGTAAATGGTAACTGTCATCTTCCCCATTGCCTATGATGGTAACAGAAATTCCACCATTCCAGATTTATTTCTTTGGCTCTTTTCCCAAGGGCATGTCTCAGGCCCTTGTCAGCTGACAGTGGGATAAGGTGGCAGTTAAATTAAGTCAGGCTCCTCAATGGGACATAGAGAACCTGGGAAGATTCAGAGAAACTAACCACATAGAGGGAGAAGGCTTGAAGGGGAGGATGACAAAGAGAAATATGGTTCCTTTGCCAGCTTCTGGGTTCTGCCTGTGGCTCAGCTTTGAGAATTTCTCCAGCCTTTCCCCAGATTAGCCAGGGTCAGCCTGCCTAAAAGGAACACTCTGAAGATGATTTTCTCAGATAGACGAGACCTGCCCAGTTGGGTGTGCAACAGAGCAGGGCGGCTCTGGAGTTGGACCCTGGCATGGAAAAGTACTGAGGCCCTTTGCCTCTGGGTAGGAGCTGGAACAGCTGTCTGAAATGATCACCCGCAGTCCAGGCCTCTCCAAAGTTGGTCTTGCAGAGTGAAATGAAAACCAGATTCCTGGTCTTATCTGAGAGCTATGTGACTGTTTCCCATCACTCCTTCAGAGCCTGGAAGGTTCCCAAATTCATTGTCTAAACTTTGCAGTGGATACGCACAGCTCTCAAATGGGAGCCTGTTATCACAGGTCCCTTCTACACAAAGGTTCTCCCCATTTGCTAAGATAATGTTATTATTTGGGGCTTTCATTCATCCAGCAAATATTTACTAAGCACCTGCAGGGGGCCAGTATGGGGGCGCAGGGGTCCCAGTCCTCAGGAGAGCAGGAGGCAGACTTGTAAAAAATGACACCACTATGCAGAGTGCGACACTGGTGTCTTCTTCCTGAGTGACAGATAGGAAAAGCAGGGGAAGCTTGTCTCAGGGCCCAGAACATGACAAGTGATTTTTCTATAGCAGGGAGAGCACAGGCTCTGGAGGGGACCAACTTGGGTCAAGCTCCTGACACTTCTCAGCTGTATGACTTTGGGCAAATGACCTCAACCCTTTAAGCTTCAGCTTTCTGTTCTATAAAGTGGGCATAACTGATAACCATCTCCAGGGTTGTTATGAGGATTAAATGAGATGGTGCAAGGGCAGCAGGTGGTAACCTGGTGCTTGATCCGCAGTAAGGATGTGAGGAATACCAGTTATTGATATACTTATGGAGACCATTACTCTGTTTCTCTAAATGCCTTTCCCACCCCCAAATCACAGGACAGCCCCAAATTGGCTTCTTTATAGACACGAGGGTCCTGTTGAACTGTTGCCATTAAGAAGCAACAACGGGAAAAAATACCCACGTGTGACCACTCTGTAAGTATACACCCATGGGGACCATGTGTACCCATGAAGTCAGCAGTTTGTAAGTGAGCTTGATTGCAATTACCAGCAGGGTGTCTATTTTCCATCCTGGACAAGGCAGATTCCCAGTAGGAGGCGCCTTCTGTCCTCCGCTAGATTCTCTGACACCCGGCCAGCTGCCTATCAGCTTTTCTCAGGACTTGAACTTCAAAGGGCTGGACACACACTGGAGAAAGGGACCCTGGCCTGACCGGTCTTGGAATTCAGAACAATGTAAGGTTGAGAGAGGAGAAGGGCAACCTTCTCCCTCTGTGTTTAGAATCGGGCTGGGTCCCAGCAGCTCAGTTCCAGAGCAAACCTCCAGGCAACGGCCCCACGCAGGGTCGCAGGTTAGAGTCGCCCTCCCAAGCTGTGGTTCACCCTCCCCAGAGCCAGGCCTTGGGCAGCAGCTCTGGGGCTCTCAGCAGAGGCGGACCACCTCCCTGCCACCTGGTCGTTAGGACACCAACCGGTGCTTCCTTGGGCAAGTCCTCCGCAAAGCTGGGAACGGGCCTCCAGCTGGGGAGACACCCGAGCCGGGGCGGCCCCATCCCGGGCGCGGGTGCAGGCACCTGGAATGGGCTCCACCCCGACCAAGGCCCAGGTGTGAGACCCGGAGGGCGCCCAGGGAGCCCGGGAGCGGGTGGGGAGCCGAGTCGAGGGCCTGAACAGACTCGCTTTTCAAAAACTCGCTTCCTCCTTTCTTACCTCCGCCCATCAGTTACCTCGCAGGGCCCCAGCCCTGGGCGGTGCAGGCGGGGCTCAGCACCCTGAACCTGCTAGAGGGTGAAGAGGGAGGCGGCAGCCTCCCCAGGAAGGGGCGGGGGAGTGGGGAGGCCGGTGCACCGGCTGGCCAGGTGAGCGCCTCACCAGGTAAAGGCGCGGCAGGCGGGCCCGCTGAGCTGAGCCACCGGGCCTGGTGGGGAATCTCTGCTCTTACTTAACCCTTAAAACCCGACTCCGGGCCGAGACGCCTCTCCCCACCCTACCCGCATACACCCAATTCTCGGTCCCCCGCGGGGGTGGAAGGAGTCAGGGCCCTGCCCCCTCCCCCCCGACCCCGACCCCGGTTTAGCCAACTTCATGCGGCCCAGCGCCCCCGGCCCGCACTCCTCCCCCAGGCGACCGGACGGAGTGGGTGTCCGCCCTCCGCAGCTGGGGCTCGGCGCCCCGGGCCTCTGGGTGGAGCGGACGGCCGGGCTTGGCGGAGAGGGTCGACTGGTGGGCGGTGCCTCTCGGGGCCGGAGGCCGCTCTGGGCCGGCACCGCCCTCCGTCTCTCGCGGTCCCTCCCTCCGGCACGCCGGCGCCCAGCGGCCGCGCTTCCTGCGTCCCCATCCCGGTCCGAGAGCGGGCTGCGCGCTCTCCGACCCCGCGCTCCCTCGACCGAGATTCCCCGGAGCCCCCAGCCCCGGGATCGCGGCACCCGAAGGAGGCAGCCTGTGGGGGCCGGGGTCGTGTGGCCCCCAGCCCCCGGCCGCCCGACCGAGACCGAGCTGGACCCGCCGCCGCCCCGGTGAGTCTGCGCCTTCCGCCCCGCCGTGCCCCGCGGAGGGATTGTTCCCCACAGGGCCCCGGGGGGAGTCGACGGCTATCTGGGTCTGTCTGTCCGTTCGTCTGAGAGCTTCCTGCCCGGGGTCTTCGGCGGGAGGACTGTGTACTCGCATCCTCTGGAGCCGCGCCGGGCCAGTGAGGGACCACCCGGCTCCCGGGCATTGCGCTGAGGACAGCTGGCTTCGCCTGGGGGAAGGCAGCCGGCCTCCGGGCCCCCTGTTGGCGGGGACAGGTGCCATCCGCCTGGCGGATTTCGAACCCTTGGCCAAAGAGGCACCTTCCCTCGGTGCTTAGAGCAGAACTTCTCGGTAGGTCCCAGGAAACCACCCGGCGCTGCCCGAAAGAGCCCTTTCCCCCATCCCTTACTCCTTTTTGGAAAGGGAGACTTTTAAGGGATATAGATTCGTGTGTGTGTGTGTGTGTGTGTGTGTGTGTGTGTGTGTGTTAGGTACTAGAGGCAAAGGGTGAGAAATGAGTGTGAGCAATGGGGTGTAACTCAGGTTTCTTCACCTAGAAAAATGGGAGTGATAACCTCCCGGGGCGAGGTGGGGCATTAGTGCTTGCCGCAGAGCAAGTATCAATACTACTCAGGTCCAAATCAGATATCTAGTCTGCGCCCTGAAGGGAGCCCTGTGGCCCAGAATGCCAAGTCTGATTAAGAGGGATGGGCACTTTCAGAACGAAATCTTTCCTAGCCAAAGGACGAGGGTGCAGGAAACCTGGACGTCCCTACGGTTTCCCGAGAAGCTGCGACGGGTCCTCGCTAACTCTGCGGGTGGTCCAGGAGCTGGGAACCCAGGTGTAGCCGGAGCGGGGTGGGCGGGGCCGGAGCCAGCCTGGCGGGAGGCAGGAGAGGGATTGCCCTCTAAGGCTGGCTTCTGGCTTTCGTTTTGAGGGGGGTCACTTCGAGGATGGCCTTCCTAGTGAAGGGTCGGCTCTGGGACCTGTGACTGGCTTTTACACTTTGGAGACGTCACACAGGGATCTTGACCTAAGTTGATAGGGCCAAATGGAATTGGGAGGGGGCCCCTTTCCCTCCAAATGTGTCCCTCCCCAGCTTGCCAGAGCTATCTCCCAGATTGGGAGAAAAGGCAGAAGAGGGAGAAAGGGGAGGAGACTGGCTGTGCATCTGTTCCTCACAATGTCCTGAGCTGCCAGTGGTTCAATGATTAGGGCCTCTTGAGTATCACAGAGGCCTAGGCCGGCCCCCTGGGGATACAGGGCCAAGGGACCTCAGAGAGTTCCCAGCCTAGTGAGTAGTAAATGGCACGTGTCGTAAAGAGGTGGCAATATAGTCAGACCCCACCGTTCCCTGGCTGTGTGACCCACAGTGTCACTTTGCCTCTCTGAGCCTCAGTTTCTTCATCTGTACAGTGGGAATGATAACCTAGGGTGAGGGGGGACATTCATGCCTCGCACACAGCAAGTACTCTGTAGGAAGCTATGGTACAGGTTTAGGGAAGAACGGAAGAAAGAAAGTAACTTAGGGTGAGGCGTACCAGCAGGTCCTGCTAAGAAAAGAACGTTAGTAAATTAAACGGTGAGGTGGAGTCTCTCAAGGGGACAGGGTAGGAAGGGTGTCTGGGCATATGGAACAGCACAGGCAAAGGCACGGAGGTATGAAGGTGCACGAGGTGTGCTGGACCGAGGCAGGTGCTCAGGTAGTGGCAGGTGGGTTTGTGGGAGGATGCAGGGAAGTAAAGGGATTGGAGGGTCTGGAGTGAACTGGACTGGAGAGGTGGGGCGAGGTCATCACAGGTGGGACTTTATTCAGTGGAGGTCTTAGAACCGGTCCACAGATGTTGACTGTGTGCCTTCTATGGGCCAGGCACTGTTCTAGGTGCTCAGTATACATCGCTGGACAAGAAAGACACAAATTCCGTTCAGGCTCTTTAAGCAGGAGAGTTATTTGATCCTGTTGCTGTGTTAGGAAGATAAATCTGGCTGCATGGAAGTTTGGAGAAGGCTGCTAGGGGAGAGGAGGCTGGCCCGCAGGCTGGTGGAGGCATCAGGAATGAAGAAGCTGGCTTGGTGCCCCGCACAGGAGGCAGAGGTGGTCTTAGCATGTGACCACTGGTCAAGGAGGAGATCTGTGGATTCAGTGTGAGGCTCAGACTGCCAGCCTGCCAGCCTGTCCTCTACCAGAGCAGGGCCCAAGCTCCTCCAGCTGAGGCTTTCCAGCTCTCTGGTTTGAGAAGTCCCGAGCCCCAGGAGCGTCTGCGTCTATGCGAGGAGTGGCAATGCTGGAGACAGAGTCAGCAGCCCATCTCCTGTTGGCATTTGCAGTGGGCAGCCTGTCCCTTTGGGGGGACTCTTGTTTTCCTGGGTCACGGTTCTGGTACATGTTCTTTCCTCCCTCTGCAGGGCTGGCAGTAAAGCCCTCAGAGCTCTTGGGCTGGAGGAGACCAGAGCTCCAGGACCTTTGGCTCTGGGCTTCTCATTCGAGGGACTGAGGAGAGTTTTCTCCCTAAGGGCCAGGAAAGTTCCCTAATCTCAGATGCCTTCTGACTGGGGACGGGGTGAAGGGTCTGCTTCTGGCTGCTGGCTTTTGCTTTCCCTTTTGTTGTGTCTGCTCTGAAGTTTAGAGGAGTTTTCTATTTGTTTGTTTGGTTTGGTTTGGTTTTTGCAGTTGACAGCCGTAGAGCATCCTTCTCCTGGTTATAAGTCTCCTTTACTTGGAGGTGGACCATGCACGGCCTTTCACCTGCCACGGGAGGACCCTAGAATGTCCTCTCATTTGACAAACAAAACTCAGAGAGGGGAAGGAACTCACCCAAGGGCCCACAGCAAGTGAGCAGCAGAACCGGATCTAGGTTCCTCTGCATTATCCCAGGAGACTGGCCACGTTCAAGTCAGAGACTTGTTAAGGGCCCCAGGTTAGTCCAGGGTGGGAGGTTTTCTCAACATCTGTCTTGCTCCTCCCCAGTTTGGACTGGTGGCCCCGTTTAGCCTGGTGATTTTTTTTTCCTCCTTCCTTCTGGATTGACCCTTTGGTGCACCAGCCACCGTGCTGGGAGCTCTGGCTCCGCGGAGAAACAGGTCACTTGTTTGGCTTTGCCTGCTCCAGGCCACCCACACTGCCCTACCCTTCCCGGACAGCCCCGAGACGAGACGCTGGCCTGAGGTCGTGCTCCGGGGATCTCTGCTAAGTGCCTCAGGCTCATCCTCTGCTCCTCCCTCGCCTCTGCCCCAAGCCCTGTGTCAAGATGCTGGGCTGGCCCCCGCCTTCTAGTCTGTGTCGTTTACTTGGGCTGAGCAGCTGAAAGTTTCCTTATTCTCTCTTGCCCTAGATTTCTCAGACATAGCAGCCCTTCAGCCTGAGTGCTGGTTCCTTTAGCTCTGAGAATATTGGAACCAGAAGGGACCGTAGCCATCCGAAAGTCCACTCCGTTTGTTTTACAAATTGGGAGGTTGAGGCCTAGGGAAGGGGGAAGGGAAGGGACGGGCCTGAGATCAGAGCTGGGGCTAGAACCCAAGATTCCCGATTCTGTCTTGAATGACTTTGAGGATGGTTCTTGAAGAAAAAACAAAACAGAGCACACTCCTCCTGCAAGGGCCCCTTTCTCCCTATACTCCACACTGCCAGGAGTTTGGGGGGTACCCACAGTCACACGTCCAGAAGGAGTAAACGCTGGGGCCCCCGGAAGGCAAGGAGTATATATGTATCTTGACATTTTCAGGACCTATCTCTTCAAACTGACTTTCACGCCAGGGACTAAACTAGTGATTAAACTTACTTGCTGCTCCCTGAACCCTACTTTATCATGTACCCCTGGATAGACAGGCTCTTGAAGTTATTTTCTCCCCCAGGTTACAAAGGAAGTACATGCTGATTGTGGAAAACTCGGAAGGAAAACATCACGATATGCTGACAACCACTGTCGCCACGGTGGTGTCTTATTCAGACTTTTTTTGTTTGCTGGCTTGCCTGCTCTGCTATTTCATATCCTGGTCTTCCAATTCATCAATCATGATGTGTACTTTCCCCACCTGACGGTTTTTTCACACCGGTTCTAACCTGCCAGTCTCACGTGCTTCTACCATGTGATGGCTGGAAGGTACTTAGGAGGCCAGAATTTTGTGGCCAAAATCAGAACGCTCCAGTAGCCCAAATTCTGTAACGCTATGCAAATTACCACTGTGAGACTTCAGGGGGCCACTTCTCGGGTCACCGTCACCATGGCTGTTGGGGAAAGGGCTCTGTTTACCAAATCTAATGCAAACATTGATTCTCAGTGAGCTTCTTAGAAATGGAGGACATAAGC